TGGTTCGTACAGCTTTTCTTGCAGGTCCACCTCCATATAAGGGATTTTTGTTTTTCCCAGGCTACTGCTTTGTATTCCAGTGGGAGGTATTTTTGGCTTAGCGTTTTGAGGAGAGCTTGGGATCCACCACTATCCTGGGCGTGCTTGTGCACCGATCGTTCAATTGCAGCTGGGTGCCGCCTCTAGTGGGTTTGTCGCTGTCCGCCACAAGGTGTTTGAGCAGCCCCTAATTGCTTCCCCTCCTCATTTTGCCATCTGCTTTGTCAAATGTGTTGTTCCACTGCTGGGCGCAGAGCGTTTTGGCTTGAGATTCGATTTCGCGGCCATGTCCGCAATTTTTGTGCGTAAGTGTTGTTGAGCTTGTTTTTACGCCACGCTTCTTTTAGGTCATGCTTTTTCTGCAGCAAACTGGCCAGGTGAGAGTCCATTACCTGGATGGATTCACCAGTCTCGACTTCTTTGGTGGCCTCATTCGCTACCATTTTTAATTCATTTAAGAGGGCTTCATATGGTAGTTCTGTATTGTCCTTCTGCTCCCGTATTTTATGGACTCTGGTCCCAGTTTGTGATTTTGAATTTTCTTGGCGTGTTCGCCTCGTTCTCAACGGTCATTTCCAGGTTGTAGTGGTCGCTACCTAGGTCTTGGGCGAGTTTATCCCAGGTAGCTCTGACGTTCTTGGTGAACGTTAAGTACGGCATTTTGCCTTGCTGTACCTAATTACCTCTTCTTAATGGGAGGGCAATGTTGTTTATTCAGCTGCAGGTCCAGCGCATTCGCACTCTCCGCTAACTTTGTGCCTTTGCCTTCATTTTTTAAGTATCCCCGTTTGGTACTCCTGGCGTTAAAATCGCCCGCTACCATGAGCGGATTGTCACCCACCACTTTTACCGCCGAGGTAAGCAGTCTGTTGAGATCTCTTTTCTTATCTGAAGGAGGACTGTAAACATTGAGCACAAAGATGCTTCTTTTAACAGCCTTGTGTGGTAAGATTTCCACCAGGACCGTTTCCACGCCTTAGTTTTATACCGGGGCGTCCCTTTCAGGTGAACATTATGTCCTTCCGGATGAAGGTAGCTACTCCTCGCGTTTTGTTCGGCTCGGGGTGCAGGGTCGGCCTGGCTACCCTGCACCCCTGTATGCCAATGCTTTTAGCAATTTTGCTTTCTCCACATTCCTGTAGCAATATTATATGCAACTTTTTTTACAGGCTAGCAATAGTTGTGTTAGTGCTACTTTGCGTTTCTGAAGTGAGTTAAAGTTCCCTTGCCAGACCCTGATCTCGTTACGGTCAGCAGCCATTTTGGCTTGGTAGCTTGTGTGCGTCGCGGCTCGTTATTTCCGCGAGATTGCGTGCTTTGACTGGTCGGACTTTAGCTCTGGAAGTTATGCTCGGCACGCTTGCCGTAACCGCTGGTTTGACCGCGCTTAGGTGCTGAGGAGCACCTGCCACAGGTGGGTTGGCTTCCATCTTCTCCAGGCACGCGAGTCTCTGGTCAGCTTTGTCAGTGTGAGTCTTAAAGGTTTTCATAAACTTGGCAAGCGTGTTCACCAACGTATCAATTTTGTCGTTGAGCTTAGTTGTCGCGGACTCGACATTTGTCAGTGGGGCTTCTTTTTCTATTGAGACCATCTCGATCTCCTCCGTCGTGTCGCTGTCACTGTCTATGGCTTTGCGTTTGTGTGTGTTGTGGATTGTTTGTTGTGAGTGTGTTGTCGGTGGTGCCGGTGAGATCGACAGATTAATTCCGTGGCAGCTCTCTATTCTAGCTATTGAGGCTCGGAGCTCTTCAAGCTCCTTCTTGAGGGCCCTGTTTTCTTGTTCAAGCGCTACAATGCGAGAATCGGGAGCATGCTCTAGCTGTGCCTTACCTTTGGGCTAGCTACTTGTGCTTCGTGATTCACCTGCAACGCAACCCTCCTGGCCCAGGAGCCATTGTTCGGCTGCTGCTGCTGCGTGGCTGTTGATCTCGTTCTTGATCGGGATCTGGAGCACTCCCGAGATGACAGGCGGTTGTCGGATCCCGACAGGGTCGAGGGGTGCCCTCCGGAAGGAGAACGGCCTCTGGTTCGAAAACGCCTTCTGGATCGGGAAAACCCTCTGGATCAGGATCTCCCCCTGGATGGAGAACGGGGATGGACGCTCGAGGCGTTCTCCCGTCCCGGCACCTGGTTTTGGCTGGGTTCCTTAAACGTGACAGATGTTGGTGCGCCTTGACGTTGTTGTGCTTGCCACTATTGCTTTCTGTGTCTTCTTCTTCTTCTTCTCACTATGTATGGAATGTGGAAGCGTCTTTTGCATTCGCGATCACCGGTGGGGTGATTGCCATCGCAAAGCTTGCAGTTCGGCTCGCAGTAATGCACGCCGTCTTCTTGTAGCGTTTCACCGCAGTTGTGACATTTCTTGCTCGTTGCGTTTGTGTGCCGGCAAACATCGGCGCGATGGCCAACTTCTCCGCACGTTCTGCAAACAGCGACTTGTCGCTTGTAGAGCGAGCAGGGAACCATGGCGGTTCCGCATATCACTGTGCTCAGAACACGCAACACGTCAAAGAGGATTGCCACGACTTTGGTCTTTTTAATGCGTCTTTTCTCGATGGCAGTAGGATTTCGGTCGTGCACAATCAGGCGTTTGAGCGTTGCGTCGTCAAGGGAGAGGTCAACGTTCTTGATGACGCCCTTGCATGTATTATCTGGCACGGCCACGTATGCGGCAACTTCGAACGAGCCTTGGTTTGTGTGCAGTTTCTGCACGTTCACGTATGATGTAGCATTATTTTGGTACGGCGTAGAAATAACAATGATGTTTCGCACATTGTTGGTGTAGATCGTGTTCTCCCGCGCTTGTTCGTCGGTAATCTGGGCGGCCATAATGACGGCTCTCGCCAGCAGAACGAGGTCGACTCGGGCTACGTCCAATCCTCCTCTGTGTCTCATAATTACTCTGATCTGGTCCTTGGGTAGGCGGGGTAGCCTGGAAGCGGATACCACACGGTGTAGTGCCGATTGGCTTTTTTAAAGCCCCTGGGGTGCTTCGGCTAGTTGCTGTGCTCGACCGTCCCAGCGGCCAGCTCCTCGTTCGGCGGAGTCGTCTGTCTTCGGCGTCCCATGGCGGTGGCCCATCCTGGTCCATCGAAAATCTCCGCGCTTACTTCCATTACCTCCACGGTTATGGTGGAAGGGCATTTTCAGTTCCTGGTTGTCGGCTGCGACGTACGGAGGTTGATCCAGTAGCTGCCGCGTCTGGCCGAGCCCTTGGCTACGTGTAATGGCCGTACTCCTCGCCAACCCTAGGTGTGGTTAGGGTTAGCGGGGACGCTCGCAGCGTCGCAACTCTAAAGTCCGAAAATATGTCTAAGAGTTCACTCACCGCCAAAAATAGGCGTCTCCACTGAAACCGCAGAGCTTGCTTGTTCGAATAAGCACAAAGCTAAGTGATCTTGGAGCAAAGAAACGACCGAAAACATTTAGAAAAGCGGGAGCCGACGTTTTCACGTCCGCGCTTCTCGACGCCACCTAGTGATCTTCCTCGGCGAGTGAGAAGGAGCGTTCTTCTCGCACACCCAACCTCTGCTATATTGAAATGCTGTGCTACCTCTCTTGCCAACTTCTTCACCGTTTCCGCATAGACATGTTTATTCTGACAGCAATATCTGGTTTTCTCTGCCAGCATATTTTGCCAGAGGCGGAGGGTCTGGGGTGATCAGAGCTACGCAAATTCTCCTATTTCTCACACGTACCTATAATGATCGGCAAACAAACTCACGCACGTTGGTACATAAGATGTCGTTATTTAGATCTCCTGCAATGAAAATTGTAAAAAAATTGGCTGCACTCTTTTTTTTATCTCCCCTCCTTTATATATTCGGACTCTCCTTCTTGTGCTTGCTTTCTTTTGTGTTCTACCAAGAATACGGAAATGTAAAAGCTGCTGAGGTGTGCAGTTGTTGCCTTCGAGTGTACAAGACGACTTGTAGAGTGATATTGGCTCGTGCGATAGTCCATGTCGCAGGAGCTTTTGTGTGCCTCTAAACATCGACCTTCTGGGGATGTCGCAATAAAATTATAGGTGACGCTGGGAAGGTACACCTGGTCCACCAAGCAGTAATCGACACCCAGAAGTCACACGTATTGCGACGACGCTTGAATGATCTTGCTCATTAGGATTCCTCAAATGTGAGATGGGCGTCTGAACTTCACCTGGAACGATGGCAAAGAACTGCACCTGATTTAGCAGCACGGCACGCATATTTGTCGTAGCACGACGCATATTTGTCGTAGACAGCCGTCTGACTCAAGGTGCTCACATATACCCAAATGTCATTGTTAGGCTTCGGGTCGACGTCCGTAAGGCTCTCAACCTCGTCGTCATCTACTTCCTCTTGGTCCCTTGAGACGTTTGAAACTATGTGGGTACGTTGACGCGAATGTTGTTCAACTTGTAGATTGCGCTCTACAGAAGTTCCATTAAAGTACAGTCTGCACCCTTGAAACGAATAATAGAGATGTACGTTCGTCGCTTAGGCTGAGCGTTATGAACACGACGTTCATCCTTCGCACGAGCACGACATCATCGCTCGCTTCGTCATCTCAATTGTCGACGCCACTCCTAGCATGTACGTTGCTCTTCAATTTACACGTGTTTTTCCCACAGCCCCGGCAACACAAATATATGAGGCAGATTTTTAAACATATATGCAAGGTAGAGACGTCAAGTGCAGTATTAAACGGTGGTCGCAGACAGGCTCTGTAGTTTACGTTTTATATGGGCACTGCTGTCACGCCCACTGTTAAAGCGCTTTATTATTGATCTTGCGCTTATGAGTCTTGTTTTGTGGTTTTCTTTACTGAAATTAACACTGAATAGTAAGGTGTAGTCCACGGAATTTTCCACCACGAGTTCTTTTTTTTATGCCACCCAGAAAAACCACTAAAGGCACACGTACACAGCTTCGCTTCGAAAGAGGCAGCTTCTGTTTTAACCAAAATAAAGTGAATTCACCTTTTCGTAGACGTCAGGGAAATGCGCACGTAAGACGGCGAAGGAGTGACCATCCACTGCAAACTGCACTGCCTCCGCTCGTTCAAAAGCAGTAGAGGGGACCCTGTGAAAGAAACATCAACATTTTTTGTTTCTAGAAGTACCGGTTGCGACTGTGGAGCCTTAATTTTGCTAAGATAGTAGAACATAAAAGTACGACCCCGCTTGGAAGTGAAACGAGCGAAAATGAGTATATATTTCTTGGTGAAATTGAGTATTCACATCATTACATCGCTGCTCTTGCCTCCTACATTTACCATTCACGCGATCTGCAACTAACCCAAATCACCAATGTTATGCAGATAAAAAACTACGCTTTTTCGGTTTCTGAAAACCAAGTATTACATAGTTCTTGCTATCAACTTCTCTATAATATGCAAAGCTAGTTTACGAGCTTTAGCATTCGGCGTAATGCTCTCCTTACCGGTAAGTGCAGGCACCATTGGCAGCCTGTATTACGTGCGCTGTGGTACCAAAGTCTGTCCTAATTGTCTCGAAACCGTCCTGACCCAGGTGAGTCGCTTCCCTTTTATGCCTGAATAATCCTTAAAGATCCTTGCTTTACCTAATCTTCTGCTGTGTTTGGCCGCGTTTGCCACCGTTTATCAAATGTTCTATCACTGTAATAGACCATCGTTAATCTGACCTCTTAGAGCATGCTATGACCGGGTGCATCTCTGCTAACCATCAAGAAAAAGTACGACTCTCCTCGGATCCACTACGCTGTTTTCCTACCTCCTTATCTAGGACTTTTGATTTTGTGGCCCGCAGGCGTGATGAGGGGTTAAATACCTGAGATCTTTTTTTGTAATTTAAAATTTTTACTCCATATATTGGAACTGATAAAATGTTATTTTTTATACTTTTCACTTGAGAAACTGTACTTGGTGGCGAGAAACGAGTTCAGCAAGTTTTACTTTACCACTGTACGGAATTCAGTGCATTCTAATTCTGTGTTATCTACAGGATAAATCTCTTTCGTTATCCCGCTTTTAGGAGTCATGACTCCCCCGCAGTTTCTAGGATCCAATTGTTCGTGGCGCAGTGTTCTTTTCCCGCATCAGTATTATTTTCCATATTCATCTTCAATCCTCCTTCAACGCAATCTTGGTTTAAGTTTCCGGTAACTTTTTCCACTTCGAAGCCGCCATTGTTGAAGAGATTGATGGCAGCCGCTAACACGGCGTCGCAAGGACGTACCTTCCTCAGCAATACATCTTCTTAATTTTCGCGGATGTCCTCACATCAACGCTTATTTCGAAGAAATCACACTATGAATACTTGTGACTGGAGTACACAAGTACGAAGCTAAAAACAAGAACAAGCATACGTAAACTATGGCGTCAACCCTAAACATACAAGGAAAAGAACGCTCAAGCAATTCGTAAAATGAAATCGGATAATTGTAGCAGATCAAGCAATATATATTTGTCGGCCTTTTGGCGACACGACCAAAACTAATGTCAATATCTTGACTCTCACAATACCAAAGTATTAAGAAAAACGTTATTAAACTTTACTAAACGAGCGCCTAACTGTTTTCGGTCGGATCCAAGGTTTCAAAAATTATCACCTGGTGAGCTACATACACTCCAAGGTAAACAAACCTTTGGCATAACCAACAACAACAACAACAACAACAACAAAAAACAACATTCTCAATCCTTGAATGCATGCTGCTCCGATAAAAAAAACAAAAACCTTTCAGCGCATAGTTTGGTATACGACACCGCTGGCACGATGGCGCGCTTACTGGTACTACTAATGCAGGAACCTGTAGCTGATGAGTATTCTTTTATGCAAACCATGTATCTTTCCCAAGAAGACGCACGAGTGCAACTCAGGCTCAGGATGCGCTGTGTTCATATCAGTTTTAAAAATTTTTCTTGTCAGTATTTACTAAAAATATCACCTTACCGATCCGTATGTTCTAGATTCAGGTTATCCATATATTGAATTTAATTGAATTGAAGTTTATTTGTCCTGAAATTCTTACAGGATCGGGAGAAGAGGCTAAATGCTATATAGCCTGACATGGGGCTTCTGCTCCTAAATACAGTTTGGCACGCAGGCCGCTCAATCTGTCGCATATCTTTTCAGAAATAAATATATAACACAAAAACAGCACACAGAAACAAATAAATAACACAATAATTAGACCATAACACAACAAAATTTAGCATGGTCTTGTCACACTATTTCAGGGAAAACATTAGAAAAATCACTTTATCACAAAAGCGTCATCTGAAAAGAAACCTAAATACAGAATGTAAAATAAAACATAAGAAAAGCAACTACAACACATAACTCAAATTGATAGATAGGATGTAACAAATCAAGTAAAGAAACTTTAATAAGCATACTTAATATTATGGTTCATTAGGATGGACTTGATGATAGTGTTTGAAGGTGCGGAATTGAAATCTATATGACACAAATAACCGTCACTGCGAATGGCATTGCATGCCTCTTAAAAAACCCTATACTATCAACATCCGCCGGTGTAGATAATGTAAATGCTAAGAAATCGAAAAAACCTCTACCTCTTTGGTGCGAAATACTATACGAAATATTTAATGAACCATTTGCGACTGGCTAACCGCCGGAATAATGGAAGATTGCTATGGTTATTCCACTATACATAGCTGGAAACAAAAAGTGATCAGACAACTACAGCCATGCATTACCTCTAAAAAACTGGATCACCTAATTGCATCGCATATCTACAGTCACTTTGAGACATAATTCCATTTAAATTTATGAACATTGGTTTCGCAAACATCAGTCATGTGACACGCAGTCGCTCGAGTTCACAACCGACTGGCACTTTACCATGGACAACAATTTACAAACCGATTGCAGTTTTTTGTTTACTTTTGCAAAGCTTTTGACGCAGTGGCCCATTATTTTTTAATTTTAAATTAAATTTTATAGAACTGGATTGTGCTAGCTTATCACGGATTACGATTTTGCTATCTCTACAAAAACTTGCGCTGAATAATAATTGAATTCCTCCCATTGCTTATGCGGCATCCACTGTCCCACAGGCAGTGTTCTAGGCCTTTTACACTTATTTATTTACATTATAGACCTGCTCAATAATAATTCTTTAGGTACCAGACTACACGCTGATGATACCATATATATAAAGATAACATCTCTTCATGATCATCCTTTTCTACAGAATCACATTAACCCAATCAGTATGAGGTGTTAAACGTAAACGCAGAGGGAAAAGAGGTAGTGGCATCGGGAAAGTAGCAGTAATAGCTGGCCGGGTATACAAGCAGCATCGCAGCAGCAACAAGGCAGCTCTAAATCGATCGCGCCTCACGCCAACGTGTTCATGTCGCTGCAGTAGTGGGCATTCCTCACCATTACAATTCGTCACCCGTAGCAAAAGGAGCCATCCTGGCAACTCACGGAGAACAGAGCACGAGCGGATTGTAAAATGGTTCTAAACGCTGCACGTGAATAGTTTCATGACCCCGAAAGTGCTGGTCTGTGGATGACGTACCGGGCTTTACGATGTAGTTGACATGTGAAATCTGCGAGACGACACGGTACGGTCCCTGCTATTTTGAAACAAGCTTCGAGGAGAGGCCTGTATGGAGAGCTGAAACCTAACGCCACACAAGGGGATCTGTAACTGTTGTAACTTCCACAAACGGGGCATATTTTACAAGTCGTTTATTCGGGCATGCCAATGGGCCACATTGAAACCACGTAAATAGCAACCAGTAACATAGGGATCAGGCTCATATATACAAGTGGCTCACGGTTACACATGCGCAATGATGAAGAGCAGCTTACCACTGCAACTTCACAGCTACGACACGTGTAGCAAATCACGATATGAACACAACACTCCTCTTCTGAAACAATTTAAGTGGGGCTACTATAGCCCGAGAAACGCCCGGCGCTGTCGGCTGCTCCTTCAGAGCGTAGTCATTTCCGGTTGCGGCATACGCTCCGTGGTCGATTGGTGTTGCGTCGGTGGCGGCAGCGTCGTCGTCGAAGTAGACAGAACCCGTTCTTCGGGCACATGCGGCAGTTCAAGCTCGCAGTCCCCCGCTGACTCTTTTTCCCGTTCCAGACAGGAGTGTCGCAAATGATCGGCAAGCACATATCGCACACCATTTCCCACCAACACTAAGTATGTGCATATTGATTTGACCTGCAACACTCTGCCTGGTAACCACTTTACCATTTCTCCGCGCACCGATCGTAGCAGTACGCACCAATTTACAGCAAAAGAACGGAACATTGCGCGGCGCTCGTCAGCGGATATTTTCATTTTCTCTGCTTGGTTCGTCAAAACCGTGCTCACATCTGGTCGTAGTAACGATAAGCGAGTCCTCAGTTTCCGTCGCAGAAACAATTGTTCTGGTGATTTACTCATGAAAGTGTGCGGTGTTGTGCGATACGTGTCCAAAAATATTATCTAGACAATGTTGTAGTAACCGGTTTGTACCGTTTCTTTCGTCATCCTTTAACTGCTTCAGGAGAGCCTTCTTAGCTGTTTGTGCCGCTCGCTCGGCCACTCCATTAGATAGTGGATGATATGGTGAGGTGAGAATATGCTTCATGCCATTCGCTTTCAGAAACGTTTGCAGTTCCGCTGCACGCAACTAAGGCCCGTTATCCATAACTACAGGCAACCGATGCGACACAAGCCAAAAACGCACAACCTCGACTGTTATCGTAGCTGTTGTCAACTGCATGCACTTAACCTCGACCCATATAAAAAAATCATCTACTGCAATAAGAAACATTTGCAATTCCTTTTCCACAAAATTCACTTGGACTCATTGTCATGGGTGTTCACAAAATTTCTATGGAAACAAAGGAACTGGCTGCGTTGCAGGAAGGACTGCCTGACAGATGCTGCATTTGCGCATCGTCTGTTCAAGGGCATTGTCGATCCCCAACCACCACACCGACGAGGCGCGGTCATGCCACTCAACACTTTTAGTATCGTCTACCGCCGCCATCCGCGGCCTCTCATTGGTAGACCAGCTAGACTGCGGAACGCGTAACCATAGCAATGCCGTCATTCTGCCC